CGCATCCATCAATAATTAGCATTCAATTTTCAGCCAGGATCGGTATCCTCCCTACTATAACTATTACTACGGTCAACGCAATTGGGAGGATTGGGACTATAGACAAAGGTACGGTTATCGATGACGTCTCCCAACCCGATACAGTGTGTTTTCAACTTCTGACAGGTTTTACCCAAAAACATCGCCTTTTTGATGAGGCAGCTTAAAGATCCAAAAATAAGTATCGTCAAAATATTTGGTTTGAGGGACAGGACACTCCTGCAATCTTAAAGCTTGCAGGCTTGCGCGTAACGTCCGTATCATGCTCGGTGCCGGCGCTCTGATTGCGGTCTTGGGTGCCATTGGGCTTTACACAGCCGTCGCAAAATGCGTGAAACACGTGGGTTTTTGGAGTCTTTCTACATCTCTTTCGCGATACTGCCTTCGTTTCCTGGATATTTTTATGTATACCCTAACAAGGGTTTTTCAGCGCCGCCAGAAGGCGGCGATCATCGGCGATACCGTAAAGATTCTGAACGAGCAGATTGAAAAGGAGCAAACCGTCCCGGGCGTTCACGTTGTTTGAAAGATGCAGGCCTTTATTCCGATTTTCCTGAATAAATACGTACTTGAATTTGCATATGGAAATGCGTGCAGCGGGTCGACCAACCGGGGTAACACAGGAATTCAGTGGATTGCGGGAGCAAACCTGGGCCCTTTATACAAATACTTTGATCGGAGGCGTGTTGTGGGTATTAAAGGGACGGGTAAGATACATCATCCGTAGGTGCCCGAAAATTCGGGAAATCGCAAAAAATCGTTTAAAAGTTAATTTCTAACAGTCTTCAAGTCCAAAGCACAGCAGTAGTTTGCGAATTAATAAAATAAAAAACTGGCAAACGGCTCAAGTTGTATACCAGAGATTCTAGATGTTCACTAATAAGCCCTCGAAATTGATTTTTTCAAAAAGACCTTTTGACTATCCTTAGGCCGCTTGATTTGGCTCTTTCCTCGTCTCTCTCTAACTCTCTCCTCCCTCTTTATCACCCTGTCTATCTCTCTGCGGGGCCTTGTCTCTCTCTTTCTCCTGCCTTTCTTTCTCTCCCTCTCTCTTTCTCCCTCCCTCTCTCCTCCCCCTCTCGCTTTCTCCCTCTACGGTTTTTTTATCGCGTAACTGATTCGGTTTTTGCCCATAGTAAATGGCTCGATCTGCAGTAGCCATCCTTATCCCATTAAATCCACTTTAATTTTTTGTCTTTCCAAATTTGATTTCCCTTTTGTCTAGGTGCATGGGAAAGTGGGGGAAGGGATATGAATTTAGGAGAGATCACGCGCCGATGAGTGAAATGGGCAGGTTTTAGGCGTTTATCAGAATCTCCTCGCCAGCGCGAATCGCCGGAGGGCTTTTTGTCTTTTTGCCATCCAGCTGTGTGGGGGAGGAGGGAGCTTGAGGGGGAGGATTGGGTGAGCTGCGACTCAACAGGGAGGAGGAGGTGATTGTTTTCACACGTTTGTGCCCCCAGGAGAAGCTAGCTGCCTCCCTCTTTTCTCTGGATCGTTTCACTCCTCATTTCACTATCCGTTTTGGCGCCCACACACACCCGGGGGTGGGTGGGTGATCGCATATTTTTCTGGACCACTTGATTTTTTTGACAATTTTTGTTTTGGAGGAAAATAGAGCAGCTGATCATTTTTTTACAAAAGTTTCCAAGTTTGCTATTGTTTTGCGGGACAAAAACAAGTCATCGCAGACCTACGAAAGCGTTTTTAGGTCCACTGGTAGTTTTTGTGAGATGGCTGTTTCGATAGAGCGTGAAATTCTAAGCATAAGCCTTTCTACAAGTTCTGTTTAACCACTACCGTTTTATAGAAAATTGGCTCCAAAAACCCTAAGTTTGGCCATCTTTGGCCCGCGCGCAAAAAGCATGAACTTTGATAAATGTTTCACTGCAGCCCGTGTTGTTCAACAGTTTTTAAAACCATAAATTTGTTAAGAACTTAAAATTCTATCGAATGAGCTATCGCAAAAAACAGCCCATCGGAAAACAACATCTTTTTATGCCAAAACCTGTTTATTTTCGGCGTAAAAACGTTGCCTACTCAGTTAATAATTGCATTTTAGAAACGGTAAAATTAGCGTATGGTAGCGTTGGTTTCTCGGTTTGATGTAAGCAACTATGCTCGGGTTTCCAGTCCACGGCTTTACAGTTTTTTTCCTGCAAACTAAGATAAACAGCTACCCGGTACGCCAAAACCTACATTTAGGCGCGTAACCTCACGGCTCTAGCTGCTGCTCGTGACCGAGCGGAGTTTTATGTATTTTTATTAACTTACTATTTTTATATTTTTTATATAAAATATTTTTTACGAACTTTTTGATTACCCATTGTTTTTCCGATTTTTTTTTGCGCAAGTGCCCGCAACACGCCTTACATTCTGAAGAAACGCGTTTTGATAAAGCGCAATCTTGTAATACGGTACAATGGATAGCGGGCAACTGATGATATCAAGCCGTAATCCATTTGGCGATTTTGGGTAAGGTATCGCGTAGTATATATTTAGGTACGGTAGATATCGCGTGCGCCGCAAAATCCATAAAAAACGAGGGGTAATACCTTGCTAGCCCCTTTAATTCTTCGCCGCTCCTATTTTTTTAAAACTTCTACCCCTCAATTTTCCCTTCCCCAAGTCGCAACTTTCCCAATGTTGCAACCCTATGCCCTAATGGTTAAAAACCCGTACTTGAACCCAATATACTTTCAGGACCTTTCGAACTCGACAAACAGTTTACCATGCGAAAAGTGGCGTTCCTGCTGTGCCTTTTGTTTGCCGTCCAGCTGGCCTCTTCGTATACCGTGGTCGCACCACCGGTCCGGAAACGCGTTTCAGAGGTACTTGTTGAGCCGTTCTGAAAAAAGCGTAAAATGCGTAAATAGACCAGAAACTGAATTAATAGACCTTATTTAGTTTGACCAGATGATCCGGAATTGCTTCCAAACGCTGTGCAAGGAGTGGATGACGGAATGCCATTGGTATTGTGATGCGGCGAGAGGGAAGGTTGGTTAAAAAATTAAAAAATTATGTTGTAATTGATAACCCCTCAATTTTATCTATTTTTTGAACCTGCGCCGTTGCTTATTTAGTTTTATCTGTATACTTTAACGGAGTTTTAAGTGTACAAGCGCTGAATTGTTACTTTATTAAATTTTAAAATTATTTAAATACGTTAAACTAAAGAAACTTAATTCAACGATACTATTCGGAAAAATGCACGAATCTCAATATAAAAAAACAAATTAAACAAAATTGAAATTTGTAAAACTTCGCTTTTTCAACACTTAAAAAGTAAACATATCAAAAGTACCAAAAAACGGTCTACGAAGGCTTTAAAAATTCTATAAAAACATTTATAACATTTTTTCCAGTTCCTCCAGCAACAATGCAAGGATTGCCTTGGCTGGCGCGGAAGCAACTGCCTCGAATGCTTCAACTTGTAGAAAAACACCCAAATTACCTTCCTCTGGAAAATGCTTTAAACCCGTCCACTACCTCATCAATGTGATTACCGATGGAATCTGTAAATACTGCCTTCGTCAAGTTCAAATAAAGTTTGAATAAATATTCCCTTAGCTCAACCCCAATTCGAAGTTGCCCTTGCACTAAAAGGAAATCAATTTTTGAAAATACAGAAAAAGCCTGAAAGGACATCCCGGTCTATAAAAAACTAGAGCGGTCAGCGGATTCCAAAAAGTTTCGATTTCAAGCTCCACCTTACTGACTGTTTTTGCTATCACCTTTTGCTTAGCTTAATTCCATGTTTAGCGAATGCTAAAAAAACGCACCGCTAATTGGCAAACGTTTATCAATTTAGCTACTGTAAATTCTAATGAATAGCTACGTCAATCCGTTTTAAAACTTTGTTGGTGAGTCGGCCTCGCAACAAAAATTATACTTTCAAACCAAATAGTTATCCGATTTCCTACCCTCATTTAAATTTTGGAACGTCCATCTGCGGCAAGTGGGGCCCTACCGCATCCTTTCAACATGTTGTTCCAGTCGATCACACCCATAACAATTTCATTTGCAGGGCTTCTTGTAATTTTGAATCCTATTTTGATTTAATCCCACAATATTGCCTGGAACACCGCGGGAAGGCCGATCTTTGAAATTCAGAGCTCCATGAAACTTCATGCCTTTTGAAAAAGGATGAAAATAATATGATATTGCGCTTACCATTGGCTTTTTCAGGATGCAAATTTCATTTGTTCAACTACTCACCCTCACTCTCCTTCTTTCTCGCCTCTCTCCCCATCCTCTCCCCTCTCTCGCCCCACTATGAGCCTTTTTCCGCCTAACTTTTTCGAGATGCAGATTTAATTTTTTAGACTGCTATCGCCTTTCTTCTCTCTCTCTCTCTCTCTCTCTCTCTCTCTCTCTCTCTCTCTCTCTCTCTCTCTCTCTCTCTCTCTCTCTCTCTCTTTCTCTCTCTCTCTCTCTCTCTCTCTCTCTCTTTCTCTCTCTCTTTCTCTCTCCCCCCCCTCTTCCCCTCCCTCCCCCCCCCCTTTTTCCTCTCCCATTTGATGTTCCTACTTAAAAAAATTTCTGTACCAAATTTTATACCTCATAGTAGCCTAACCACCCGACCCTAAAAACATAATATTCGTCCCCCGGACTGCTGACCGCCGTTTCACCCCAAAAACGCCCAAAATTCCGTTCACAAATTCCAGGCTAATCTCTCCATATTGACCGGGGCGGCCGGGTGCGGTCATTGAAATTTGGTGTTATCATAAAATTTCCGGGCCGGTCCTTATGGGATGACGAGGCCCCTCACCGTTTCCGCTTTTCCTCCTCCCCACCCACATTTTTTGTGTGTGAATTTTCGAAGCTTGTGTGTGTGTGTCATGGAGGCGGTTTTTTAGGTCAGGCCCTCCCTCCTCGAAACCCGCGAACAGCGCGCCGGCAAAGGTCACTTTTTAGAAAACACAGTTTGGGGGGAGGTGTTTGTTCGGTTTGCCTAGAGTCCGCCCACGGCTTATGGCCCGCGCTGCTGACCCTGGAATTCATGCGTATCAATCCGCCCCCATTTTCGATCTATTTTTCCAGGGCGGATGGCCCGTTTTATGGGCGTTCCGTTTTGCTGTGAACTGATCTCACTAACTGTAAGGGATCGAATGACTTTTGAATTTTTGCGTTATCTGGTTTTAAGAAAGTTTTTTTGTGGCTAGTTTTGGTAAGTTTTCACGATCGGGATTACGGTATTTCTGATGCTGCTTCCGGTTTGATTTTGGCTTCATCATTGAGTCATCAGGTGCTTCTTGGATTTTTACTTTATGACTTTTCTTTTGAATGTAATGACTAAAAGCAGAATTTGTTCGTTTTTATATTCACGGGGCAAAAAAATTAATTTTCGCCAAATACCGTTATGTTAACGAAGAGTGTTGGGCTCGGTGACGAGTAGAATCTTTTCTGATAAGAACGCGCGATCCTTATGTATGCATTTTATAAAGCTCTCGATTCCGTTTTCTCTTTCTCTCTCCCCCTCCCTCTCTCTCTTTCTCTCGCTCTCGCTTTCTCTCTTCCTCTGACTCATCCCTGACTTAGTTCCACCTAAGATTATGCATACGATAAGCCAGGACGGTGTGCGATTTCAAGCCGGTCACATGGCGCAAACTGGCTGCCTGTTAGGCGTCTATTTCCTCTATGAAATGCTAAATAAAGAAGCTTTATTTGAAATTCCTGCCGCGTTCAGTTGCCTGCCGAACAACCTGCCCACCTGTCTTAAGACTTGCCTCTTTAAATACGGTAGAGCTCCAGGATCGCCTTCATTTATGAACTAGGTCGGGATAGCTAAGCCAAATGAGGCTCCTGTTCGTATTTTGGAGCGGCCGCTAACTGTCCGTACCTGATATCAATGGTAAGGGGCGGTTATTGCGCTTCCCAGCTCCTTTCAATCTGCAAAATATCTGATATTTCTTATCGCTGACGATACACTTTATAGAGGCACTTTTAGAAGCGCCGGTTTTCCACGAACCGTGGTAAATTTGCTTGTATTTCCGGTTAGAGAGCGCGCCCTTGTGAGAGGCGCGGACGTTTGACATGTAATTTTTTCCACAACTCGGGGAAAAACGGAGCTGCAAAGCGCCGCCTTAAAGAAGAACGCAACGGGCCGGCAAAAAAATAAGCTGTGACCTTTGAGATATTTTGTCACCTTTGCCCCCAATCAATTACAGTATCAATATTTCTCGTGTCCTGTTCTTTTCCTTCTCCACAGTACATCCCTGTCTGTCTGATTTTTGGATTGACGGGGTGGTACGGCGGACCCGGTGGGGAGTGAAATAAGGATAGCTTATAGGCCGAAGCCCACCTGATAACAGACTTCTCAGTTCCCGCCCGAAGTGCCCGCAGCTTTCAGGTCGTCAACGATGCGCTCCCGGGGTCTCACCGGGATCTTAATTTTTGCTGTGAGTTTTTAAGGAAAGTTTAAGCTGATTACGGCAGTTTTTTCATTTTAAAGTTTACGCTAAAATTCGCGTTTACCGGGCTGGAAATCTAGGTGCAATTCTTAGACAGGTTACGTAACTGTAGGTGCGTGGAAGGAACATATTGAGCTTAAGGTAAACTAAAGCTTTTTAACGCGTAAATCTCCGAGACGCTACTATGGCTTTGCCACGTCATTCGGATCAAAACGGTGTAACCAAATCCAAAGTTTACTGGGTTTGGCACAGCAGAAAATTCGATAACCCCCCTGCTGTGTCATCATCTTTTGTTACGCTACAGTTCTATGTACGGGTGCAAAAAGGGACGGCATGTGATGACGACATATAGGATGATCTGGGGAATCCGATTAGCGTGCTGGCGGGGATCTTTGGTGCGAGATGCGAAAACCTTTTGGACCGATCTAGGGTTTCAAAAATTTCAAACTGGCCACGGCAAGTTACGGCTGGATGCAGACACTGGAAACGCGAAAAAAACCACAGCAAAAATCAGCAAGCTCACTAGTGGTCATTTTGAACAACGCTTATTCAATGTTTTAGTTCGTCGCCATCGCCTCGTCCCGCTTCCACCAGACGCGGAGATGTAAGGGAGTAAGTTTATTGATTGAGGAATTTATAACCCAATTTCTTCAGGATGAATTCTGGTCCATCCGCGGAGGCTGCCGGCAGTGCGAGCCGTGCAAGGAGGGATTCTATGAATTGGTAGGTTCAAAAGTGGCTTCAAAAACCTTGTAATTCTAGCACCCCTGCACCTCGCTCAGCAACCGAATTTGCGAAGATTGCGGTGTTGTCGATATGGATGTTCCGGATTTCAGGTGAGGCGCTTTAAGCAAAACCGGAGGATCTACCCTCTAGTTCGTTACGTCTGGACAGCTGCGTCTATCATTCTCTGCTTCTTCGACCCGCTCACTCGCTATATCTCATGCTCTCTATCGTGCTCTCTCACGCTCTCTCTCTCTTTCTCTCTAGCTAGTTTGCTTTATCCTGCTTTATCTAATCCCTCTTTCTTTATAACTTTGTTTCTCTCGCGCTTTCTGTCCCTCTGTCTCTCCGTCTCGCTCTCTTGCTGTTCCTTTGCTAATTGTTTCATGTATTATTTCTGCTTCTTCTCTCGCTGTTTTTGTCTCTCTCTCTCTCTCACTCTCTCTCTATCCTTCTCTCTCTTTATCTGTCTCTCACCCTCGTTCTCTATCGCTCCCATTTTCTCTCTCTCTCTCCCTTCCTTTCTGGCTCTCTCGAATAGCTCTTTTTTTTGACAAGCGAGGGACCCGCATGCATGAACGAGGCCATGTATCTGTGTTGAACCACAGCACCTTCAATTTCTCATCCAGACAGCTTCTCCTTTTTCATAATATTTTCCTCCCGCCAAAGGGGCTTATCACCCTTCGCAATCTGTATTGATATCCCAGTGTCCCAAACATCGCAAGCGTATTTTGAAAGCCGATCGATTGATTGACGGTGTGCGTGTGTTTACGGGGGTGATGCCCCTCTCACATGATCTGCTCATTTTGGAGCTGGGACGCATTTTCAGAATCGCTGCGCCGGTGATAAGGTGCTGAAGGCGTCGGCGTCGCGGCCGCTTTTTTCTGGGCGTCGAAAACAAAAATTCGGGTCATTGACGCGTCGTTTTGAGCGGTCAAGCAGGGCAGTAAAGTTCGAAACTGGCCTGAGGTCATCGGAAAATAAGGGACGGAATTTTTGTGGCTTATTAAAGGGGCCGCGAAGTGAATGTTAAGGATTTTGGCATCTTTTGGTGTCTCGAGGACCTTTTGACGACGGCGCCACGCCCACTGTTTTTTTTCGCTGCGTACGACATTATCACAGCCAGTAGAAAATCAATTCGTAACCCGTTTTTCACGGTTTAGCGGATCAAATGTCGGTTTGAAGATACCTATAAATACGCAGGATTTGTTGATTTTCAGGATAAAATGCCCTCTGGCCAACGAGAAATTCTACAGTGCCGTCGAGGACAAGCTGAGGGACCAGTACAAGAAGACTTTTTCTTTGAAGCACGTTATCGATGTAGGTTTCCACAGGTTTCGGGATTGTCGACCAGTTCGGCATGTCAAGATGTCATGACAGCTCTTCCAAATGTTTCATCCCTTTCCCTCCGCCTATGTGTGCAGCGCATTTTTTAGTTTTCATGGCCCGAGTACACGACCTTTCCTAGGCGTTCATCTGGATAGAGTTGGACCGTATTAATCCAAAATTTTTACCTTTACGCTTCAAATTTCAGGAGGATGCCCTCGACAATGAGGTCGATGATGAGCTGCTGGAAATCATTCCCGAACGTGTGCAAAAGCCAAAGCCGAAGGACGAATTCGTCGAATCTGAGGTTAGCACCATCTTTTTTTTTGCTCGAACGCTAGATGGAAAACTGACAACTTTAGCTCAGCTTCAGCTTTGATAAGAAATATCTTTTTTTTCGTTTCAGGATGACCTTAGTGACGACGTTGACGATGAACTGTTTGACGATGACGTGTTCCAAGAGGCTGTCAAGGTAGGTATTCAAAAGTTTATTAATTTTCAAGACTATGGTATCTAATAGAAACTTGGTTTTTAGATCGGCGAGGGGGCGCGCCCGTCAAAGAACGAGGGCTCCGTCAAGTTGATCAACGTGAGGCGCCGGATCCCGACGTACCGTTTGCTCCATGATGAATTTGAGCGCGAGTCCGAGAAGTTGAAGGTATGTTTTTGCTCAGAATCCTGGATCTCTCGATCGATCTTTCTTATACGGTCCTTGAGAAGAGCGAGAAGTTGAGAGAGAGACAGAGAAAGCGAGAGAGAGAGAGAGAGAGAGAGAGAGAGAAGAGAGAGAGAGCGTGGGAGGGGGCGAGCGATAACCCTAGCTAGCCGTTCCAGGTCGCCGAGATCAAGCCCGTTGTGGTCGATGAGACCGACGATGGCACCGAAGATGAATACGTTTCCGACGAGGATGGATACGACTCAAAAGAAGAGGATGACGAAAAGAAATTCCCCGTTTACCTGTAAGTCTTGTTTTAGCTAGTGGTACCAACTATCCCCAGCTCCAGGTTTTTTCTAAGGGTGTCATTAATGCGTTTAGGAATACTAAAAATCTAAATTGTCTACTTTTCAGGGACATCGACCCAGAGCGTGATGCGCAGATCGCCTCGTTGCGCCAGAAATACCGTAAGAGATTTCTTCAATTTTTTTAAAGTAGGTGGTGTTTTAGCCAAGCTCCAATTCGTCGACCTCGAGGACTTTGAGGACAAGATGAACGTAGGTTTACATTGTTTTTCGGAGCTTTAATTTTTGATGCCAGATTTAATTTTGAATCTTTTTTTTAGTTCTTTTGTAAAAGCAAATTTCTAGGCCCCATTCGAGGACCTGCTGCCAAAAGACTGGAAGGAGAAGAATGCGGAGGGCGAAGGCGAGGGTATCGAATTCGGTCTAAACCCTAAAAATATTTTTTTAGAAATGCGTCTGATCGTCGGAAGGGTCGAAATCATCCGTGAGATCGACTCTGGCTCTGATGAAAGCGGTAGGCTTTGGATATCTTCTTTAAGTTTGGATATTACACGCTGAATTCCGTCTTTTTCAACCGAAAAACTGATTTTGTCAAATCTCGATTTAGACGAGGTCATGGAAGAGGTGAAGCGCGTTTTCCAGAAGGCCCGTCTAGAGAAAGAGGAGTAAGCTTAGCGCCCTTTTAAAATACAGGAGAATTCAGGATGGAAATCGAGAAGGAGATGACGCAGCGACACGTTTTCCGTAAGTTTCAAGCGTGCACTTGCAAATTCAAATTCAGGCGCGATCATCTGGTGTCTGATGCTGCTCTTCACGTTTATCGCTATCTACAAGACGGTCCGCGTCTGCGCCATCATGTTCAGGGTATGTAAAAAGACAGGCAATCACTCTTATATTGATTTTTAGCGTTCGGATCGCGAAATCTACCGCATTGCGCGTCACTACGAATTTACGCCAGCTCAGAATGATGGTGGGTGTTTTAGAAGATGATTTCTGGCTATCTCTATCTCTCTCACGCTATATCGCTTTCTCACTAGCTCTCTCTCTCTCTCCCTATCTCTCTCTGTCTCTCTGGTCTCTGGCTCTCTCTCACTCTTGCTCTCGCTTTGTTTCGGGATTTCGGATTTTTCGGGACGATGGTCCACTCTTTCTTTTTCTTTTGGGTTTACTCTCTTTCTCTCCCGCACTCTCGTTCTCTCCCGCTTTCTCATCCTCTCGATCTGGCTAGCTCTCGCTTTCCACCTCTTGCTCCCTCTCCCTGTACCTTTCTACCTCGCTCTCACTCTTTCTAGCTATCTCTCACTAGCTCTCTCTTCCTCTCGCTCGCTCGCTCTCGCACACACACGTACTCTCATTTTCTTTCTGTCTCGCTACTTATACATTTCAGTGATCAACAAAACGCTTGGCAACCTCCAGAAGAGCCAGAACGGATACGTCAACGCCAACTACCAAGAAGCCCATTAGTCAGGGCTAATTTATTGGAATTCCCCTTAACATGTATTTTCTGTATTTGCTCAAAACTCAATTGCCAATTGAAGTCGGGATAAATGATTGCTTTTTATCGGAATTTACTAGAAAAGTACCGAATTGATTAATCAGTATGCACGGACCACAGATCCGAAATGGTAAATCCGTCCTTCAGCTGTTCCACAGCGAGCCCGAGCTCTTCGGAAAATACGGGTGGTCGGTGGTCGTAGGTGACGTTGCTGTCGGAGAAGTACGCCTGAACGTTATGACTACGAATGGTACTTTTTGACGTTAGGAATAAGGACTAATGTGGCAGTTAAAACTCTAAATCCACATCATGAAAATTTTACCGTAAAAATACGGAAAACTTTTCAAGGAACCTCAATTAGTTTGCCCGTAGATAAGAAGTAGCTCAAAGAAAGACAGCTCCTTAAAGAAGACGGCTCGGAGAAATTCTGGAGAAAATTCTTAAAGGATTCTCGCTGCCTGGCACTAGTTACTAAAAACAACTATTTTATTACCAGATGGTTACAGTCCCTTCGCGACTGCAACCATCTGGCCTTCGGGCTACCCTACATGTCCCACTCTACCACATCCTTTCCCACCTCCATCAATACCCCCGATAGCCGAAATCCCGTTCAAAAACTACCTAAATACCTTCCCGATGGCTTCAGATACCCCCCATGGCTGAAATCCCCTTCAAAAACTACCTAAATACCTTCCCCGATGGCTTCAGATACACCTCATGGCTGAAATCCCCTTCAAAAACTACCTAAATACTCTTCCGATGGCTTCAGATACCCCCCCATGGCTGAAATCCCCTTCAAAAACTATTTATATACCTCCCTGATGGCTTCAGATACCCCCCATAGCCGAAATCCCCTTCAAAAACTACCTAAATACCTTCCTAGATACTTTAAATAATTTAAATAATTAATTAACATAATTAAAAAGTATTAAAAAGTATTAAAAAGTATTAAAGTAACTTAAAAAAACGATCTGGGCGCGGGAAGGGCCTGGGGGAAGAGGGGCGAAGGGAAAGGGGGCGTGGCCTCCCGGGAGAGGGCCCCACCCCTTTTACTAAGGAAAAAACTTTCAAAGTTAAGTTTAATAATTTAAACCAAAACTTTTTTATAATTTTTTTATCAGTTTGGGGGTTTCTGACCACGCTCTATCCGAATCCGAAGAGAGCTAAGCTCTAGCTCCTTTCCCCTTCGAGTTGAATTCGGCTTCAGACACACACACACACACACACACACACAGACGTCTTTACTTTTTTATTTATGTTGATTATTTATTTATTGTTTTTTTAATGGAAGTATTTTCCGGAAATAAATGCCCCCAAAAATCACTGCTGGCTGACCCGTTTTCGGTGTCTGGTGTTGATAAGACTTACCGCAAACGCATCCGGTCTCCCAAACTTTTCAATCACGTCTACGTCGTCTTCCATCGCATCCACGGCATCTGTGACGCCGAGTCGGGGTGTCGGCTAAAACAGCTATTTTCTATGAATAGATTTAATGCGCGAACCGGGCGATCCCTGGTGACCTGGACGCCAAAGATTGGGCGCATCATGTAAGTCTTGTGCATCGACTGGATCGTCTTGCACACCTGAAGAGGCTGAGTTCTGGCGATGCAATACTCTCTCTCTCTCTCTAGCCTCTCTCTCTCTCTCTCTCTCGCTCTCTCAAGTTCTTGTTTGGTCAGGGCGGCGATTGGCTTACAAGGGAAGTGCACGGCCGGCCCACGAGAAATCGAAACGAGACATAGTGGATCTGATAGAATCGGACACGGGGATTCCGAATCTGTAATCAGAATTTGCTAAATAAAACGGAGAAAAAGGTTATGAAGCTTCAAAGTTGATAAAATCGCCAAAAACGGTACCTTTAAGGGCCCGTAGAAACCGGGGGAAGGGAATTGAGGAGAAAAGAATTAGTGCATCCTGGTTCAGCGAAGGCGCTTTCGAATGAGCTATCTTACGTACCATTTGCAAACAATTAACTGAAAAAAAGTTTTTTAGATTCACGGGCAAGGGTATGTATGGCCTGTCAAGTTCATAGAAGAGATTTCTGCGAAATCATCGTAAACTTGAAGTAAGATAGCTCATTCGAAAGCGCTTTTTCTGCTGAACAAGATGCACTAATGGGTTGTGGCAAATTTCCATTCCCCGGGCCTTTACAGGCCCATAAAGGTCCGATTTTGGGCGATTTTACCAACTTTGAAGCTTCATAACTTTTTCTCCGTTTTATTTAGCAAATTCTGATGACAGATTCGGAATCCCCGTGCCCGATTCTATCAGATCCACTATGTCTCGTGTCGATTTATCGTGGGCCGGTCGTGCACTTCTCTTGTTAGACTTACAGTTTGAAGCTTTTCCTCTGGATCAATCCGGAAGCCAAGCACGTATTCGCCACTCTAAATTTTTGTTGTTAGTTTTTCCTGAAAAAAACCGTTGATGTCGTTTCCAAGACCAGCGCAAGCCCAAATTTCGAGTCGCGGACACTAAAAGGAGATTCAATCTCGTAACTCGTTATTTTGACGGAAGGTCGGCAAAACGAGAGAGAGAGAGAGAGAGAGAGAGAGAGAGAGGGCGAGAGAATCAGAGAGAGAGAAAGAAAGAGATCTCCTCCTAGTACCTACCGACAACTAAAAAGCTGTAGATATGGGATGGAGACGTTGTACTGTGGATTCATTGACGCGTACCAAACGACTCGAACGTTGGTGATGATGAAACAACCCAGGTTACCCTAAGGCATGGCCTAGGTAAACTCGTAAAATGCATAAACTACCTGATCACTACTCAAGTTCCAGACACCAGTAACTCGCTCAGCTTGCTGTTCCAGGGGAAGGATGCGGATTTGCTCGTTTTCGTCGACGACAGCGCCTCTCATCTGAATTTATAAAGCTCAAATGGCTACGGAGGTTATAGCCCTCTATCTCCCGTCTTTTTTTTTGTCTCTCGCAATCTCACTCTCTCCTGGTCTCACGCTCTTTCCGTTTCTCTCGCTGTGTATAGATACCACACGCTCTCTTTTTGCTTGCTCTCTCTCGCTCTTTCACTCTCTTCTCACTCTTTGTCTCCCGGTTTGGTCGCTCTCGCACTCTCTATCGCTCGCAGTTTCTCTCTCGTTCGTCGTTCTCCCCTATCTCTCTCTCTCTCTCTCTCTCTCTCTCTTCTCTCTCTCTCTCTGTTTCTTTCGCTCACACTCTCTCTTGCTCTTTTTCGTCTCGTCTCTCTCTCGCTCTCTCACGCGCTCTCTCACCTTCAATTCCCGATACATCTTCGTCGTTTCATAAGCCCGATGTATGGACATGACCGTAGTAAACAACCGTACAGTTCCCGGGTTCAAAGCCGTGAAAATGAACTCAAACCGGGTAGAGGGCGCTTTGGCCATGATGAACAGCGACTCGACCTCGCCTCGGATTTTCTAGAGATTGCTAGATGATTTAGCAAAGCTCTTACCGAGTGGGCCTTTTTGGCTGATATGCCATTGATCGTGGAGAACCCGATGGATAGATTAATTCTTGGCATTGCTGCGGCATGCCAGATGAGTCTAAAAAAAGATAAAGAAAACGGGAAAATAAAAGTCTTAAATTTTTTAGTTTCATTTTTAAAGGGGCTTGGAAGTCAGCGTTAGCAGGGGACGCGTCGGCGCTGGGTGTCGCCACAGTCGCAACTAATAACGTACCCAACACAGCCCCGTTAAAATTATGTTTTCAGCATTTCGAGCATCACCAACCTCAAATTTGTGACCCTCATCACGCCACGATCACCATTGTTTCCTTTCGTGTCCTCGACGTTGTCAATTTTATCGGCGAGGGATTCGCCAGGGATCAGGCGAAGCATTCTAAAGCAAAATGTTTTACAAAAATTGTAATTAACTAGTGATATACCTGGCATCGACATCAAATCGAATCTCGCGATCCTGCCAAATGTCTTCCCCATTGACCTTGTCCCCCTTGTTCATAGCGGAAAATCAGGATACCTTCAAACTTGCATAATTACGACAAATGCAAAGCACGAAGTTAACATCAAAATAAGAAAATATATACAGCAATTTCTTATAGAAAAATAGCAAAACACCATAGTCTGGTCATCGAAACCCTTTAATTAGCCGCAAACTCGTGGATTTTCCACCAAAAGAAGGAATAGCTTTGCAAGTATCGATTGTTTTGATAGTCGTTAAATTAAGCACTTTTCAAAAGGCAAGATATCTAATATTTTCGGCTCGGTTACTTTGTTTTTGCTCTAAATTATTCTCGTTTTGGTGTGACTACGGTAGCCATGGCAACGCGACAGCTGCTGGCTGTGTACGGAGCGCCCCAAACCACGAAGGCAGAATGCTCCCAATTAAATCCATTAGAGCTGCTTTGACATGTAGAATCATAAAAAAGGGTTGAATACAATTTATTTACACTTCGACCATCTCTTCCATTTCAATTTCCGAATTTTTCCGTTTAATAAGACCGGCGCGTTTCTTTCGGAGTGAAAGACCAAAACCAGCGAGGATGGCGACGCCTGAAAAATTATACATTTCACTGACTGCAGAGCTTTAAGTTATTTTCATTTAATGTCTGAATAATGCCGGCAGACCGCGGTAGGTATTACTTCCCCTCAAAAGCCAAATAAATACTTGGATATTTAACCAGGAAAATCACTTACCAAACAACGCCGCGAGCCAGCCCACTGCCGGGCCAATAGATCTGCCGCCCGTAGGTCGAGGCTAAAAATATATTTTTTTTTGTCTTCGAAATGAATAGGATCCTGTCACAGGAAAACCACCCGACCGGGTAAGCTAGTACCTCATCACGCCGGCCCCGATAGATTCGATGATTCGAAGAGAATTTTAAGCTAATTTTGATGGGTCATTTTGGTTGAGAGGTCACAAGTCTTAGAACAAACTTTTTTCCTAGAATCTCATTTTTCAATACAAATAGTGGCAGTGCGCTAAATTATTTGTTGCCCTTCCTAAACGCGCAACCTAAAAAATCTTAGATTGAAATACATCAAAAATTTCGGTTTTCCGACCAAAAAAGGCCGAGTGACCAAAATGTCGATTGTTTTCAATTTTTTTTGAAACATTTTTAGAGAATTTTTCTGGTTTCAATATAATTATCTATTACTAAAAACACTATTAAAACACTGTTTATTAACTTACTAGACATTTCTAGACCTATACCAAAAAGCTTTAAAAAGTGCGCACAAGCCTTAAAAAATGCGGAAAATGCCCTTCTGTTTCAGATTTTGGCTCTGAACTTAGGTAGTTTTAAGCAGGTCTACTAGAATTTGTTGTGGTTGCTCAAATTCACAAAATATATAGTCCTCTTCAAAAATTGTACACCCCCCAGCCCCCGCCGCCCACCTTCAGAGTTTTCGAACAATGGAACGCCGGGCTACGTGAGACAAAATACCGAACTATCAAATACGGTTGCATATTTACCCGTACTGATAGTAAAGCACCAACCATCACAAATTGTCCCATCAGCTCCAGGTCTCGGTTACGCACACCAGCTGCTGGATTTGTATCCACGGCCAAGGTTTCAAAAATGGAGTTTAAGACGCAGATTAGAATGAGAATATGGCGGCAATATTGGCAGTTATACATAATTAATAGGTGTTAATATAAATCTCGATAGTTTTTTGCATAAGCCAAAGCTCTAATTGACAACTACCAACGGTTCAATGAAACGACCTGCGAAACCGTTGAATTTATGCCGCCTCCAATTGTTGCAATATGATTCAAGAACTGTCTGCTTTTCGCAAATTTTGAAACCAATTTCACCAGTTTCGCCAGGAAAAACCAAAATAGAAGATATATTTAGGCTGCGGCCAGGAGTTGAAAATGAGTGTATCTGCGTGCGCACACAAAAAAATTAATTTTGAATGCGGCCGGTTTGCCACCATCGAAACATTATTTATTTTCCCATGACTAGCAAACGGTTTCAACATAATTTTTTTCAAGGTTTAAATGGTAATACACCATGAAAAGTACGCAACTTATGCCGATGAAACAGGCTTAGGTGATCAAGCCTGTTTACTCGTTGATATGAAATGACAACTTGCCGTTTTACAAATAAGACAACCGCGCCGTTTGGCTCGAGTTTTATACTATCAGGTTGGATGGTAAGTCTCCCTCGCCGAGATTCTGGAAGGCTGACTAAAAACGCAGCCAACTTCATGTCTAACATGCGATATTTCATTTGTGAAAACGCCATCAACTTTGTGCGGAAACAAAACAACGTCCGGAAGTATCATGTCGTGATGTGTTAACGAGTAGTTGTTGACTAATTCAACGTTTTTACCTCGCCAATTCTTCTTCATTTTTGCAGTTTGTGCTTGAAAAACACGACTTATGTGCTTGCGCCGGTCCCACCTGCCCCTTTCACAAAGAAAACATATCGCCGGGCGCCGGGGAAAATTCGGAATAGTCGATTAGCCGAGTACCGGTCGTGTTGCCTTATCACGCCCCGTGATGCTCCCTTATCATTCTGCCACAGTTTTGGCGGCTTCTTCCATTGCGTGCTCGCTTCAAAATCGCCCAGGAGAATGAGGGTGTTTTGTGATCTCCTCG